TGATGTAAAGCCATTATCACGTCTCGAGAAAGAGAGTAAATACTCTAGTAAACTCTTACATACTGGAGATTTGCCTATGCCAAGAAATAGCTACGATTTGGATTCGGCTGCAGGTATGTTCCGCATTGGTACAAATAAAGTCAATTTACAATATTGCAATGTTAACACCGAACATTTCTTGCATTTAGAGACTCGACCTCTTTTTGAATAAACGTGTAATTTACGGTTTATTGCAGTTTATTATTATACGAGTTTTATTCAAACGTTCGAATTATATAACAGGCTTCTACATATGTCAATATGAAAGAAATAACAAGATGCTGAAATAAAGTCATGTTTACCGTTAGCTGCCTTTTCCGAGCAGAGTATTAGGAGATTATCAATTAAAGGTAAATATTAAGAATTAATTATTTAAAATTTATAAATACATACGTAGCCTGGACAATGAAACTTATTTTCACTTTGAGCACCGACCGGATAATGCTATTTGCGCAAGACTTTGATAGACGTGATAACTTTATGCCTAGGAAACCCTGGGAATGCAATGAAACGGAAAATTTGACACTCCTGTAGGAATTAAATTCTACTGCTTGGCGAAGATATGTTAGTTGTGCTTAACAATAAGCATAGAATACTTACCAGAAAGTTTTGGTGCAATGTTGAATTGGAAAACGGCAAATGAATATTGGGTTAATATTAAGGTCACAACTATCCGTTAACGTTCCGAGGATTGCCGCTTAATATAGTTGGGTACCATGTGTGTACAAAAAGTTTATGCACCAAATGTTAACAGCATAAATATACCGACAACCGCGCTACCAGTTCTACGAGTAATAACAACAATTTACCAAAGTCAATTCCTAAAACAACTAACTATAAACTTTGTAACCTCACATTTATTGTTAAGATTTGAACGTCGAGCGTATAAAAATTTCTCTTAGAACCTGATGAGAATCTAAATATAAATAATAATAATATATATGTATATAATTATTATCGTCCCGCCTAATCCATAATCTCATTCCAGCGGGTCCCCGCGCAAGAGCAGTCGCGCAATCACTACCAAGAAATCCTGCAAAATACCACGCAGGTGTTTTTATTCTCTGGACACCGATTTAAGTGAATATTAAACTTGTTGCTGCAATTTACACCTCCGTAATTTTGCAACACAGCTTATTTTGCCGTCGTCCGCTTGTATCGTAATGGTGGTCAAGGCTCCTGTATGCAAAGTGGTACACGAAAACTTTGCCTATTCGTTGTGTTGGATGAGCCTTGTTTGCTGTGGACGCCACGCATGTAATCTGTTTGCTTCCGACCAAGCACTCCGCAATAATTATCAACTTTGTTGATTTCAAATTTACCAAGTTCGTTAGCTCTGATTGATGATTGATTAACGCACCCGCAACTGGGAAGCAGATGAGGAGCTTCATTGAACCCCGGCCATAGGAATGAGAAATCGAATTTCTGCAGCTCGGTATAGTACCTGAAATAGTGATCTTCGAACGCGTCAATCTCCTCAAATGGATTTTAATTTCATGTAACCGATTAACTTGACAGTCTCTTTGTGTAGCTGGTAGTTCAGTGGTAGCATTTTTCAAAGTACTCGCGCTTGCAATGTTATGGAACGGTCGTGGTCCAAGATAGAGGATTTAATTGGAAATAACATGTTAAATAAAGCAATATCGTATCGCAGTTTTGAGTAAGAGTCGTTAGTGACTGGCGCTTACAAGCGATTAGACTGTCTGCTCCGGTCTGAGATCAAAATGTTGACCATCGGCAATCACCACCCGATATTTTTACGATGAGACCATGGTTTCAAGCAAATCGATGTCACTAATCAGTTCAAATCTGTTGCGTCACAGCGCTCGCTCTTAAGGATTAAACTCGAGAGAATGTAATACCATTTCATTCGGACCAGTTACGTAGTTCGAGAGCTGACACAAGACAGCGATAATGCGAACAAGCATGCGAATCGATGCCCTTGCATATTTTTATTAACTTGAATAGTAGCCCCATATTTAGTTTTGCTGAAATACCCCGAACAAGCTTCCCAACCGGCTCTTTTGTCTTTGCATTTCCAAATCATATAGCCTGTATTCTCAGTCTCGAGACTCGAATGCACGCTTTTTTACATTTTGTTCGTACAGTTGATTTTGATAGTTCAGCGACATATCGGCACGTAATCGAATTATAAATTTAGCAAACTAATGCGACATATGTTAAGTCATAACCCAGTCAGCAGTCCCTCCAACATAATCTTGCAAGCTAGTTAGTGGATGCGGCAAACGGTACTATGTCCGTATGATTTATTAGTGTTGTACTTTTATAAAATTAATATAGTGATATCAATTAAACGTGCGCATATCTCAATGCACAGGAGTTAAAAGCGTGTGCGGGCTAGCGACGGTTTCCAATTTATCGGATGCGTTTCCGGAGTCTATGAATTGATGCACATAGTTAATACACAAATGCCACTTGTGATTTTCGGAAATACATTGTCAATGAATGCTTGAATCCACAGTATCTTACCGCATTCGGGTCCTCTCTCCATATTTTTATGGTCTTATCTGCTTCACATGTTATCAGACGTAAACCAGTTCGATCAAACGTACATGCAAATATGCCTGCTTCAGATTCGAGCGAACCTGGCTGTACAGTTGTTTCAAGCGCTTGGAATTTGTATCCAGATTTCCAATCCCAGAACGCCATCGTGCCATTATCACCTTTATAACCGAGAAAGACAGAACCAGTATTAGTATCCACCTGTTGACACCAACACCACAGCAGAAAGCCCCCCATTCAACCATGCCATGAACCATAACAAATACCAACGACTATCCCATACCTCCCGAGAACAATACATTATCGGCGTTTACAGTCAAGCAATTAATAATTGCCTTGTGACCTTCAAAATTCTGTATAAATAATCCTTCGGGAAACTTCCATTGTTTTATATTATCCGCACTCCCACTGGCAAACGCAAATTCTGTTGGATGTAACGTGAGAGCACGGACAGATTTCTTGTGATGCGTAAGCGTGACCAACGTCTTGCCAGCAGCCAAATCCCAAAGACGTATTGTCGAATCCATGGAACCGGTGATGACCTGTGGATCAACTTCCTGACATTTTACATCCGCTACTGTCGAGTTATGACCGCTTAGGACATGGATGCATTGCTTTGTTCGCATATCCCATACCTTCAAGAAAAAGTGAAACATAAAAATCATTCAATATAACGCGCGCGAGTCGCGAGAATTTCAAAAGTCACTTCCGCCAATCGTCATCAACATACCCTGGCCGTCGCGTCCCTCCCAGCGGTAACCAGTACATCCAAAGTTGGATGCAGACTTAGTGAATACACCCCGGAAAGATGCCCATGGTAATGTCTAATAACTTTATTCTGTTCTAAATCCCAGCATTTGACCATTTTATCCTCTCCACAAGAAAATAGATATGGATGCCTCGGCGACACAGCCAATCCTCGCACCGTGGATATGTGTCCCGTAAGCGAAAGCTTTAATGTACCCGATGCAAGATCCCAGATCTAAGTTTGAATAGTTACCAATGTCAGTCCAAATTATTCGAAAACTCATTCGCCATACCCAATCATTGTTCATTGTTCATTGTCTCTCCCTTCCTTTTCTTATTTCCTACCTTGATAGTTCTATCCCCAGCCCCGGTAACAAACCATTGATTTCCAGGCTCAATAGCCACAGATCGCACCCAACCCAAATGCCCTGAAATTACTCTCATTAACTTCCAAGGCGGATGCCATTCGGGTCTCTGTAATCTTGGTGTCTGACGACGGACTAACGAGCCTAGGGGTTTAGCGGCTTCAGGAGTGGCTCGGAACCCAGCCTGTTGTCTTATGGCAACAACACCATGGGAAGTTTTTGATGATTCTTGCCTATTGATGACAGAAACAGAGTCAGGAGAGACATGATTGAAAAATGTGAAGAAAACATGTAGTGAAAATTTTAACAAACATTGCTTTAGCCGACTCGAGATCGTCCAGTATCCGTTGAATGCCTGTCCCTGAGACTTCGCTTTCCATTGCAGTGTCTGATGATAGCGTTACACCTGATACAAAATACATGAATTAGTCAAGGAGCTCTCTCCAACTGCAAAAACTCTATTCTTGATTAGATTTCATACCGGGAGCATTTGGGTATAAATTTCCACCAGTAACTTTTATTTGACTTTCTTCATTTGCTGCTCCATTCGCACTTGTACTTTCATTGTTCCCCTCCATTCCAGTCAACGATTTCTTGGGTTCGACTCTACTAACCCCCTGTTGTGCTGCCACAGCCGCTGGAAGTTCTTTGATTTCTCCATATTCGTCATTCAGTTTTACTCGAACTTTTATTTTCTGACTGAGTGTAAGCGACGTGTTTATCAGTTTAACAAGACGCAGCAAAATTGAATACAAACTTGATCAACCAAACCTTTTGTCGTCGTCATCAACAGCGAGTGCCAATCCTGATATTAGTCCCGGTGCCTTTGTCCCGAGAAACATAGCCCGGGTGCGTTTCACTGATTGGCGAAGTTTACCTTCTAGATCGGGGTGAATCGAAGCTAACGTGCTAGACTCCATCGTAAAGAAGTTGATCTGAGCTGTAGGTTAGAAGACGATGAGAGAAGCGTGTATATTACGATTGCACGTGATGTAGTGACACAGTTGTTAATATTTAAGCCCTTTCTCCGCAAAAAAAAAAAAACAAATGAATTCTCTGTCACGTCACTGCCTTACAAACGCGCGGAATTCGTTCAAGTATTGCAAGACAATTACTATACGACAAGCTGTTGCTCATAGGAGCATCAGTACTTTTACGGCCTCTGATTATGTACAGAGATTTCCCAAGTTCAAAGACATTCGAGGTCCTTATCTACGATACTTTCTGTTGTGGACGTTACTAGGTTCTGAAGCGTTACACTTACGATGGACGAGGGTAGAACATGAAGAATACAAAGAAAAGGCAAGGTTGCAAATTGTGAAACTGAAGGAGCAAATTGCAATAATGGATGGTGGAGGGATGACGCAAGCAGCTGGTCAGTAAGCGGAACTAGTTGTCTGATTGATTACAGTTTTTCTTTTCTTTACAATTAAAGATTATTGCCAGTAGTAGACATTGCTGACTTATTGTTTTTTCACGTTGAATTTTTAGATAGTGGCTTCGCTCAGCAAACACAATCATTAGCGTCATCAGAAGATGTCGATCCGCACAAAAGTAAGTCAGTGTCCAAGACTAACCTATTAATATGATTTCTACTTATCTGAAATCTTGAACGATACTAAAGAGAAAGTCTGTTTTTCGGTTGATAAGTACTCTTAGAATTGAGTAATTCAGTTTCCCCAATAGAATACTTATGATGATGAATGTATTATAAAAAAGTAAATAATAAACTGAATAGATGTGACTTTGGATTCAAGTTGTTTTGATATTGAACCAACAAATAAAACACTGTAACGCGATTTTTTACAGTCTGAATTATTACTATTATAGTTATTTATATACAGTACATGGACGTAATTTGGTATATTAAAGTTAGAACAGGATGAGTTTACCAGAATCACAACAAGAAAAGCTTTTTACAGCATCAAAATTTACTATAAGTAATACGTCCTGATATATACGAAATTTTATTATACTGTAGTATCATTATACATTGAATAAAAAAAGCTTCATATATGTGATAGATATTGTAATTATAGAAAATCCGTGTCATCTTTAAGACCTAACACCGCTACCTAATTGGATTCTGCTTTGTGGACAGAATTTTAATACATATCCTTATTTGATTTTAGTAATAGTCATGCGGAAATATAAACAAATAGATATCGTAATGAATATTTTTCTTGTACCTAGTTACAGTGAAAAAAACAACAAATTGGGTAGTATTTATACTATTATAATTTTATAATTTTAATTGTTGCTTTCTTAACTTGACTGATTACCAACAGCACTGCACAGTGTTTTTGTTTTTTTCTTGAGGTATCTTTGCCCAGCAATTGTATTTCGTTCAGAATATAATATTGCTCAGCGTTGACTGTTTTCTTAGCTAATATTACTTAACACTTAAAAATAAACTTTTACGTTAATACTAATACGCATTTGTAATTGGTGTCACGTCGCATCATAAAGTATAAATGTGCGATGTAACACAAGAAAGATTTGAAACATTTCTTTCACTCGTTAGCTAGGGTCAACGATATGCAACATCCAGCAATTGACAACTTGATTCAAGCCTCCTTAGAAAGTGCAAATAAACGTTTAAGACTTGAATGGATTCTTCATTCAGAAATTACTTCGATAACGTCAACTTCAATGGATGACGACGTCTATTACGCTATTCGCAACCAAACGGAAGTTAATGAAACGATGATAATGTTACTACGCCTTGGAAACACCGAAGAATGTACATCAACATGCGTGAGTGAGTTAGCTAGAATATACTCACTTCCAACTCACAAGTATAATAACAATGACAATAAGTTTAGACGATATTCTAAATGGCTTGAGACTCGCAACCAACTCATTTTTGGGTTTACCAAGCATGACGATAACTATTACATGGTTGCTGATAAAGTCTTTTACCGTTTTTATTCTCTTTATGGCTTCTGCTCCACATGTGGAATACTCCGATGTAGTCCCGTGTGGTGCATTTGTGGTTATAAACAATTATCCGATGGGTGGACTAGCAACAATCACAAACTCGATGACTTTATTAAGAAATCTCAACTACAAACAAACTCACCAAATGACGCCTATTTGGAATGGATTCCATACGATTGTATTTATGATATGGGGACATGTGGATACTTGTATGATGGTCTACATACTTCTACTTGGACAGCTGTTAAATTGATTCCACTAGAGATAACAGATGAGACACATGATTTATATTATGCCGAGGTAAACTATTTACTTATGCGTCATGGTTATTAAATAGTTTAAATAATTATTGACTTATTATTATGCATCATGTCCACTAGTTATGTGATAAGCATCCAGATATTCTTGTTACGGATGTTTGGTTTACTATCAGATTTACATACAGAACAAGCGAACAGAAATACTGTCTAATAAAAGACAAGTATGGGTGTAGCATATGTCTGGCGTGTATGTGGTCATTAAAACCTAAGATAAAGGCATTCTGTTATAAATGCAAAGAACCACAACCGCTTGATTGGACTATGGGAAACAAGTCATTAGATTCATTGATTGTGGAATTGTGGAATTGTGGAAGAATGTAGAGAACGAAAGTGATGCGTATATACAATGGGTAGAGTATTCTCTACTGGTAAACGTACAAGAGATGACATCTTTGCACCATGGGTGCACACATATGGCAGACTGGTTTGATCCGGTGATAAATGAATTAATACATGTAAGGCTCAAAGAAATAGTTGACGAACAAAACGATCGATTATTTGATTTTCATCAGGTAAAACTATTTCACTGTAAATGGTATTAAGTAAGCATTGCATTGATTTTTGTAAATAATTACATTGTTTGTTCAAATAGCTTACTCAGGAATACCCAGAGATATTAACTCCCGATAATATTTGGATAGTTGGAATCACTCAAGAACCATCTGCTCGAGATTTCATATGGGAGAAACGGAAGATTCACCCCAAGCCCAGCTAGCATCTCTCCCTATCCATCAAGGAGGGATTAACTACCCAGATATTGAAGTCGAGATAAATATCAGA